CCTTGCCATGTTTCAAATTCAATGCACAAACAAGTGCCATTGCTTATGGTTCTAAACTCTGTCCCATGGCACCTGTATTTTTGTTGCCATAAGTATACGTCATGTGCTTTGCAAATAATATTGCAGTTATAAATCTATTAACATCGGTGGTAAAAGAAAATGTTATTCTTTTTAGAGAATTCGAGTTTGAGTAGTTGTATCTGTAGGGTATATGTGCGTTGTCAATAGACTAAGGGAAAAGAAGGAAAGATGAGTGGGTTTTTATTGGTTGAGACCTTGAATAACACGGTGAATAAGGTTTATGAAGTAATTTTCCCTGTTATACGGATATATTTATTCGTTTGTATATGAATTGTATTTATATGAATGTGTATTAATTGTCATCGAAATTGTAGCTTTAAATGGTATACGGAGGGTCACTTTCAACTCCCAACATTCAAGTATTTTGTTGATCACTGTTGGATTTTCTGTGGTCAGTGTTTCGAGACCGTAAACATAAGAGAAACATATCCTTAAAATCATCTGCTCGAACCAAAAAAGATGGTTAAATTTTGTCTGCAGTCCCCGTACTCTTTTACGTATTGAAATTCAGTCTCCTACTCACACTTCTGGAAAATGCGTTCCTAATGTGTCTTTTTAAAAAATAAATTTAAATTAATACGACTTATGTCAGTTTAATATGTCTGTTATTGCTTATCTGTTGGTTTAATTTAATTTTTTTTAAGGGGTCAAATATTGAGAAAAAAATTAAGAGCTAAAATTATTTGTTTTGAAAATTTTTAGGCAAGAATTTTATAAGTTATTGTAGTTTTCATATATAAATAAAGATTAAATTTCTAGTAGGATGAGACACTAGGTCCCTTAAGCAAGGTCAGGGGTTCGAATCATGGCGTTTGTGAATGGAGCAAACTGGGTTGGGAGGGCTACTCTCACCTCTGAAGTACCTGATCTGGATTAGTCGGTCAATAAATCGGATATCAGTGATTAATTCAAAAAAATGGAGCAGCTAAATGTGAAAAGTGAGAAAAATATAGGGATGTGAGAGGAAAATTGGAGGAATCATTTGGGCAGGCGTGATGATATGAGCACGCTTACGGTAATTTTGAGGTGAAACTTTGGGCATTAATCAGGGGGGTGAACGCACGTTGCTCTTCAATGCAATTAAATCCCCCGATCCATGTTATGTCAAAATTAACATAGATGAAGACTTCGACCCTCAGCGAAAGTTGGCTGCCATCAGTGTTATAGCTTGGGGCTCTACAAGTGTACCGTTGGACAATTTGACTTTATTGCTATCCTTTTGCATCGAAACGGTCTTGCAGAGATCCATACTATGATTATCGGTTTAAAATTTGCTCAAGAGAACCATTGACACTAAGTTGTGCTTGAGAATGGTTCGACAAAGATAGCTAATAAATTGACTCGTGATGTGGTAAATTTGTCCACTTTAGGATTTCATCTGATTAAAACTCGATCCATTTTGCAGAACAATGTATCTTTTAAAGTTGTTTTTGTCTCGTGCATTTATAATAAGGTGGCCCATGAGTTAGTAAGCTGGGCACTTAAATCAGGGAATACGTTGTTTTTTGACTCGTTTTGTTATGAGATTATTATATTTGTTGTAACTTATGGCATTGATCTTGGTTCACATATTTCCTGGGCAATTTTTTTCTCTTGTAGATCCTAAAAGGAGTTTTTAATGAGACCTTTTTCTTTAAAAAAAAAAACTTTCTCTTCTCCTTTTAATCTCTTGCTCCCCACAACACTACCTTCCCCTCTCTTATAAATAAATTTGAGAAGAGATAATTAGAATAATGGATTTAAATAGTGGGTTGTTATCGCAATAACACATGTTATATAGCAATAAAGGTGTCATCTTAAATCGTTATTGTGTGATAGTGATATCTGCAATCACCATATAATATTTATTCTATCTGTAAAAACAATAAACACAACACGACCGAAAACACGATCGCAATCGTAACTTAAATCCCCAATGTGAATGTTACACTCATATACAAGAGTCTAAGAAAGACATTAGTATCTACAAGTCATATGTGTTTGATTCAAAAAATAATAAATTTGATTTGGCAATAATCGAATTGAATATGAATATTGTAACAAATTTAATTTTTTTAATTAATATGAGGTAAGTATAAGGTAATTTCCGTTTCAAGATATCTCTTAATCATTTGACATTGAACGCTCACACCCCTAATATCTCTAATGCTCAAACCTTGAACCTTAAAGAATAACAACAATTCATTTATCACCGAAGTCGTTTGTTTCGTGCGCAAAGTATCAAATTTTCGAGAATATATATGATGATTAAAATAGGAGAGTTTTTATCTAGAGTAAAAAAAATTGATTCCATTAGTTCGAGTTCAAATTTAAATTTAAAACAATTGAATCATTTAAACCTAAAGCATAATCAATTGAATCAAAGCTGATTCAAATTTAAAACAATTTGAACTCGAAAGGACTTCAACGAGAGATTGCCAAAACCTAGAGTGGCTAAAACCCTAAATTAAGCAAACTTATAAGGACTCCACCTGAAAATAACAAGCCTCAAGTCCAAATCACTTGAAAACACAGCAATTTGAATCTAAAAGGACCCAACTTAAAATTTACTTGATCTAAAATAATACTCGAATAATTAGTTTGATGATTGAACTTTCAAAAGTTATAAAACAATCATCAAATTTATCCAATTATTATAAAATGGTCATTGTGATGTTATAATAAGTATAAAGATTCAATAAATTTAATGATCATTTTATAATTTTTGAAAGTTCAATCATCAAATAATTATTTAAACAGAATTTTTGTGACTTATGATATATTTCATCTCAAATTATTTTGCTCCAAATTACACTCCTAACTCGCTTAATCATGACATATTGTTAGACCCTCCGTCGTTCTTGAAAGATACTATCTCAAATCTACTCTCTTAACTTTTAAAAAATCAATTTAGTCCTCGAACTTAAAAAAAATTAACCCATCTATCACATCATTAGTCACATCACCAACCACCATGAACTATTAAGTCAACATCATAACGGTCAACGACGAAAACTGTTAGTCAATAAATTACATTGAATTTTTTCTAAGTTCGAGGGCTACATTAATCTTTTTGAAAAAGTACAGAGGCCTCGTATATTTTTATCTAAAAACAATCATATTCATTTTTAACTTTTAGGGTGGGAATGTAAATAAAGAAGACATAGAGTACATTTGAGAATTAATAAAAAAGTACAAGTGCAAAACTGAAAGTACGCTCATTATAATATTCCCTCAGTCAGCAGGAACCACCGGGAGAGAGAAAGAGGAGATGGTGCGACTCATAAAGACTTTACTGAAACGAAGAAAAACGTCCTAGATTTTCACAGCCTCCAACCCAACCTTCACATTCTTTACTTTCTCACCTCTGGTTCTTCACCCACAAGCCTCAGAATAAAAAATTAAGTGAAAAAGAAGAAGACGAAACCAGCTTGTTGTAAATCGAATCATCACCTGCCTTATCTTTGTAGACCAACAAAAGAGAAGAGAAACAAACTCAGATTTCAAAAATGGCCACTTTCTTCATTTCCAGCTATCTTACAGCCCTGACTTGTCTTGTTTTCCTCTTCAAAATCTTGGCTGCAGAGCAAAGTTCATCTTTTTCTTTCAAAAGTTTTGGTAAAGATCCAAAATTTGAGGCCAATATTGCATTATATGGGGATGCTCATGTTGGTAATGATGGCTCTTGGATTCAACTTACTGACTCAGTGAGTTGGAGTGCTGGGGAAGTCATGTACAAGAAACCCATCAAGCTTGTTGGAGTTAAAGTCAGGAACTTTGCTTCTTTTTCAACTTACTTTTCCTTCTCAATGTCTCGTGGAAATAGTGATGGTTTGGTTTTTATTATGGTTCCTGGTAGTTCTAAAGTTGATGTATTGGGGAATAGTTCGTTCGGGGTTTCTCTTGGATTGGAGGAAAGCAAAAGCAGAATTGTTGCTGTAGAATTTGATACTTTCAGAGATGTAAATCATGGTGATTTGAATGAAAACCATGTGGGTAGCCAAGTCTTCACAGGCATGCTTTATTCACTCGTGGAGTTTTAAGCTAAGGCAGGCTCCCAATTGGATGCATTCCCAACCACTCGATCCCCAGGCTATTGCAAAGAATCCTCCCAAACCTTTGACGGTAGCCCCCAAGAGCAACACATGTTTTCGTAAAGTGCTAGTCCTGTTCGTATCCGGCGGTGCTTGCGGAGCCTTGACAGCTTCTCTCGTGCTGTACCTACGGAAAATCTTCGGTAATACCCTGTGGTGCCTGAAGAGTGTGTTGCGGATCCTGGGGATTTCGAGTAGATCAAGAAGGTCAAAGTGGTAGTGGTAGACGATGCCGTCAAAGATGGAAAGAACTAGATTTCTGATTGAATGTTACGTTGTAAATTGACGATGTTCTGTAATCGTAGTTGCAGGTTTTGTGCTTACGTAGTGTTTTCCTGTTGCTTGCCTTAACCTTAAATGCATAACTCATGTGCAAGTTCTTCACTGTATTACCTGATTGTTTTCATCATTTCCCCCATGTTTTTATGCTTAAGATCTGTGCTTGGCTTTTACTTTGAACTTGTTCGAGAAAAGATGCATTGATTAAATGGGTCTGTGATTCAGGGTCAGAATCGTCGCCGTTATCGGATTCCGGGAGTGGAACTAGTCGACCGGTAAATTTGGAGTCAAGAAAGATGTATAATTTGGAGTCATCCTGCAAAAACCGTAAAATCAAAAGAAACATTAGACAATTAAGAAGCAAAATTACAAGGTCTATTAGCCCAAAGTAAATGTCGGAAATTAGTACCTTATCTGTGTCGTAATACTGAACTATGTTTTCATGTTCAAACTGACTTAAAAGAGCAATCTCCTGAAAAAGGTAGGGAGCAAAGAAATCATGTCAGACAAAGACAAGAAGAACATGGGTAGTTCAAGTTAATGAACATTTAAGCAATCAAAAGACAGGGTTAATTTCTCGGATGAAGATATGATGTTAGCTTCGAGTTATCGGAAGAAGCGAGCGGGGCGGAAGAAATTTCGCGAGACTCGGCATCCGGTGTACCGTGGAGTCCGCCGAAAGAACTCCGGGGAGTGGGTTTGTGAAGTGAGGGAGCCTAATAAGAAGTCGAGGATTTGGCTGGGCACATTTCCAACGTCGGAGATGGCTGCGCGTGTCCACGACGTGGCTGCCATAGCTCTGAGAGGAAGGTCGGCTTGCCTGAACTTCACCGGCTCAGCTCGAAGGCTTCCGGTTACTGCTTCTACCGATCCAAAGGATATCCAGAAGGCGACGGCAGAGGTGTTTCGATCGACTGAGCAGTGGGATGAGAACTCCGGAGATAATGGGCTATTTGACATAACTGACACCAATTTTCTTTAATATTCTTTTTCTGACATCGTTTGACTAATATTTTTCGAAGTAACATCCTTTCTGTTGAGTTGACAAAGACGTGTCCTCGGGGACGTGCTTTACCCGTGTTTTCGCTGAGTTAGATGCCACGTGTGGAAGGCGCATCTCCGGGGACGCGCCTTCACTGACTCGACTGCCACGTGTGGAAAGCGCATCCCCGGGGACGCGCCTTCCATTAAATGCCATAAATGTCCCCATCCGTTTTTCCTAGCTACCCCTCCTCCTCCCCTATATAAACCCCCTCAACCCTCCCTCATTCTTCACACCAAAATCATATTCTCCTCTCTTATATAACTCAAATTCTCCAACTATTTGAGTTTTAAATTTGTTATTAGTGGTAAGAAATTTATTTTTATGTTAGTATTTTTTTAAATAGTTATTATTTTTTATATTAATATATTTATGTAAATATTATTTTTTTATTAAAATAATATTTATATAATTATTATTTATTTAGAATTATTAATTTTTTTTTGCTAATTATATTGTTTTGTCTACAGTTATAATGGAAAACGAAATGCTGTTGCGATTGGATATTGATCATATCTCCAGACATTTTAGCGATATGGTAATATTTTTTATAATTAATGTTCATATTTAAATTTATTTTTATTTTAAAGTTATTATGAATTTATATTAATTTTTATTTTTTATAATGTATATTATTTAGGACACTGATCGTATTTTAGAGACTTTTATTAAAAATTCACGTATACCGACACCGGAACGTATTTTACCATATTTGGCTTCTGCCGAGTTCGGGTATATTGCAACAATTATAGACGGTTGTAAACTCGAACCTGTCCTAATTTCTGCACTGATTGAGAGGTGGAGGCCCGAGACACACACTTTTCACCTTCCATGTGGAGAGGCGACAATTACATTGGAGGATGTCTCTATGCATCTGGGGCTTCCCGTCGACGAAAATATGATGTGTGGTATGGCGGATGGTGATTGACAATCAATGTACATTGATTATCTTGGAGCTGCTCCGCCAGAGTTTAATGGAGGTAGAATAGCTTTATCTTGGTTGAAAGCTAATTTTGAGGTTTTAAATGAAAATGCTTCAGAGGATCAATCAAAGGCATGTGCTCGGGCATATATTCTACGAATAATTGGAGGAATATTGATGCTCGACAAATCTCGCAACCAGATGCATTGTATGTGGTTGCGGCATCTGATCGATTTTGATGAAGCTGGAAGATATAGTTGGGGCGCTGCAGTTTTGGCATTTCTCTTTAGAGAAATGTGTCAGACGACGAATTATAAGAAAACTGCTATCGGTGGATGTCTTCTGCTTCTACAATCATGGGCGTGGTTCTGCATGCCTTTCTTATGCCCGATCGTGAATGAACCATACGTATTCCCCTTATTGTTGAGGTAATTTTCGAACTAAATTTTGATTTAAATATTTTCAATTAAATAGGGTGATATTTAGTTTATATTATATTTAATAGGTGGTCGATGAAAAGAAATGACCATAAAAGTATACCTACTGGGTTAGAGGAAATTCGTTTACTTATTGATACGAAAGCTGGGTCTGATGTATGTTTTTAAATTTGTTTAATTATTAATATTTTAATTTAAAATGTTAGATATAATTAGAATATTTTATTTATTTGAATTGTATATTTATATTTCAGTTTCAGTGGATACCTTATGCGAGCGATGAAGTGAAAGCTTGCATCCCACCCCACCTTAGTGGATCATTAGATGTATGGATATCGGTTATACCTCTTATATGTTATGCTATTATTGAGTGGCATCCAGTTGATCGCGTGCTCCGTCAGTATGGTTGTACGCAATATATTCCTGGAGCTCCTAGGAATTTAGACGACGTGCATAACATAGATAGACGAGGAAAGAAAGATGTTAACTGGGTGGTGAGACACAGAGATTAGATTGCGCTTTGGGAGAACCGATATACACTGTTGGCCCCTCGACAATATTACGCTGAAACTGGTCATATGGTTACGGATAACTATATGGACTGGTTTAATGAAAATGGGAAGCTGTTTCTACTTTCGGCGGAAGCACGAGGGGTTAACATTCCTAGGCGCCGAGAAAGACGTCAACCGTCTCAATATCATCGTCCCCCGACGCGTGGACGGAGAGAAGGCGCTACCGGTTCTACATCAGTCCCACCACAACATCCTTATTCGTCATGCCGTAGGGGTACATGCCCAGCCCTCCACTTCATATGCCAAGCCCACCCGTTTATATGCCATCTCCGCAGGGTTACATTCCGAGCCCGCAGGGTTACATTCCTAGCCCGCAGGGTTTTATACCATATGGAGGTGCATATACGACTATGTTTAATGATCCAGCATATGGTTCATATGGATCTTATTTGGCTGATGGTGCTTCTCCGCAGACACCTCAATCTCCATCTGGATCACAGACATCGATGCCAATGTTTCCACAGTTTTCACAGTTCCCGGGGAGCGGTGGGATTGTTACTAGCACTCCTCCAGGGTCGTTATTTTATACAGGCCCTTCAGCCCCTTCAGCATCATCTACACCAAATGAAGAAAATGCTGCTGATGATGATAGTGAAGATGAGGAGACTGAAGAACAAGTTCCACGAAGAAATCCTCCACGAAATAGACAACCACCGCCATGTGGAACTCATTCGAGAAGACGACATCGGTGATCCAGTTGTATTTAATGTTATTTAAATAATTATATTTCAGAATTTTATGTAATTTGGTTATGTTATTTAAATGTTTCATGGTTGTTACATACATATTTTTTAATGTTATTTTTTATTCACATTTAACATTAAATGTTTGATAAATGTTTTTAAAATACAAATTATATTATTCAAAATTTAAAATAAAAATAAAAATAATATTATTCAAAATTTAAATTTAAAATATAAATTATAGTATTCGAAATTTAACATTAAATTTCAACTTAATATTCCAATTGTATTCGAAATTAAAAGTTATATTCCAATTATAGTTCACAATACTTAAATTGAAATTAAATTTATCCATACATATGATTTTATCATTAACATATATATTAAAACGTATACATTAAAATCAACTTATGTTGAGTTAATCGATCGACGGAATCGGCCAAGAGGGGGTGAATTGGCAATTTATTCAATGTCACATTTCAATGCTCATTCCATACAATTTCAATGTCACAATCAACTTATCACTTCACATTTATTCAATTTATCCATAACATTTTATCTAATTTATTCAAACTTCACATAACGTTTTAATTTAAGTTATTCTTAACTTGCTGAACTTTCAAAAGAAGTTAAATTTTGGTTATAATTTACCTGATTTACTGATATATCTAGTGTCCCCGAGGGACATGAGTGACATAATAGGGCAATGATAACATATTCTATGACAAAATAATAGAAGGCGCGCCCCCGGGAACGCGCCTTCAAGTCCCCTGAGAAATAATAGGTACTGATATGAATAATGTCCCCGAGGGACATGAGTGACATAATAGGGCAATGATAACATATTCTATGACAAAATAATGGAAGGCGCGCCCTCGGGAACGCGCCTTCAAGTCCCCTGAGAAATAATAGGTACTGATATGAATAATGTCCCCGAGGGACATGAGTGACATAATAGGGCAATGATAACATATTCTATGACAAAATAATGGAAGGCGCGCCCCCGGGAACGCGCCTTCATGTGAATAGTGAAATAATAGGTACTAATATATCTAGTGTCCCCGAGGGACATGAGTGACATAATAGGGCAATGATAACATATTCTATGACAAAATAATGGAAGGCGCGCCCCCGGGAACGCGCCTTCATGTGAATAGTGAAATAATAGGTACTGATATATCTAGTGTCCCCGAGGGACATGAGTGACATAATAGGGCAATGATAACATATTCTCTGACAAAATAATGGAAGGCGCGCCCCCGAGAACGCGCCTTCATGTGAATAGTGAAATAATAGGTACTGATATATCTAGTGTCCCCGAGGGACATGAGTGACATAATAGGGCAATGATAACATATTCTCTGAAATAATAGAAGGCGCGCCCCCGGGAACATGCCTTCATGTGAATAGTACTCCAATTATAGACACTATTATATGCAACATATTATAAACTTTTAAAACAAACTTCAGTTCACAAGCTTTCAAATTCTCAAATTCTCAAACTCTAAATTCTCAAATTCTCTGAAAATGAGTCGTCTTTCTGCTGTTGTTTTGTATGATGGACTAATTAAGGAAGCTGAAGAGGGGGTTATTTTTAGTCAGATCATTATATCCCCTTAACCTTGAAGAGAAACATCACAATTGAGGAGTTAATCACAAAAATTTCGTTAAAGATTCGTGTAGCAGGCCAGATAAGACTATCTTCACTTTAGTACAGATTTCCTACTGAACTTTTTCTGCTCACGTATACATCATTTCAGCTTTCAAACGATGATGATGTTTCTATGATGGTTGATGCTCATATGGGGAGTTCACAATCTCTTATTGAAATGTATGCCACTTTTATTGAGGTTCGTGTAACTCGTGGTCTCTCATATTCCTCTCACTTTGGCATTTCATATCAAACTGATCAAGTTGATAGCCCGACACAACTGATCTGTAATGATTTCACATCATTAATGGCGGATCCAACGCCAGATACCATGCCATCAAGTTCAATAGGAAGGCATTCATCTGCAACTGCTTATGATCTCAACCCACGTGGCTTCACCAATAATCCATATGGCAACATCTCTTCTACTTCAAGGGGCATACATTTATCTGCCAATATTTTCGACTTACATATGGAAATGCCAACGAGACGACAGTCTATTCACATCCCACATGATACAATGGCCTCAAGTTCAAGGGGAGAACACGCAAGCGGGAACTTATTTGACCTCAACATTGGATTATCGGAGGAACCCTCATCTCCACCAGAAGAACCTCTTCGGGAGCCAGGTGCAGATGGTGCTGAAACGGGATTATTCGTTGAACCTGACTCACC